GGATAGCAAAGAAGCTATTGCTTCCTGTGCTATCTGCCATAATTTCTTCCCTCCCACCCTGAAATGAGGGAACCTCCCTGAAATGAGAAGGGCACCTCCCTGAAATTGCTTCTTTCAGGTTGGGATCACTGTAGTAGGTGGCTGAATATGTCATGTTCACCTAGGCGAGGATACAGGAAGTAAATGTAAAAAAAAAAAGTTATTTTCTGTTAAATTTTTTTTCTGATTGTGTAAGAGGGAGGCGGAAGAGACAGGTAAGAGGATGTTATTTTCATGGGTGAAGGTTCCACTTTGAACTAGAACTATGTGGTGTTTTTCCCCATAGTTCTCTTTAGGGTCATGGGAGGACATATACTGACCTCCTCCCATGACCAAAAGCTCAGTATAGCCCGCAATATACTGAGAGCGCCGCACCCGGGACGGATCCCAACAATATCGTGATCCATCCAGCTGTGTGAGTGACAGCTGGCTCTGACTATCTAGAGGCAGAGCCAGCTGTGCCTGCCCCCTCCCCCATCCTTTCCTCCACTCAGAGCTGAAGGATCGGAGGGAGGTAATCCCTGTAGGGAGCGGTGACTGACAGTCACTGCTCTCTGTAGAGAGATGAAAGTGAATGAGCGGCGGTATCGGTTCGCTCACTTCCCGATCAAGACAGCTTCTTTGTCACAGGTCGGCTCTAACTATGAGGATGAGTGGAAATCACTCACCTCATAGTACTCCTTTAAAGACGAACAAGGCTCTAGTGCTTCCCAACGCTATCCAAAATGTGGATAGAATAATGCTTGGCGAACACACCCGCTGTATGATGATTGGACATGGGAAGGAGCTGCAGCAGCCCTATGAGGTCATCCCTCTGCTGAGCACATTAGTATAGCTGATTAGTTCCTAGTTTAAAGTCTCATATTAAAGTATCAAATTTAAGCCGCTTCATGAACTGAAATTTGCACAGTGTGTGCCCTTGTCGTTACCTTTCCGCCCTGCATCCCTTGATCATCTGATCGAAGGAGCCAGCTGGAAAATTCTCAGCCGAATTGAACTTGCAG